ACTACTACTACTACTAATAATAATAATAATAATAATAATAAAAAAATAGAATATTTCAAAAATGTATAACAATAATAATAATAATAATAATAATAATAATAATAATAATAACAATAATAATAATGAAAATAATAATAAAGTAGAATGTTACAAAATAATAATAATAATAATAATAATAATAATAATAATAATAATAATAATAATAATAATAAATTAAAAGCAGACCTTAAATAATAATAAAATAATAAATAATAAAATAAGCAATTCAGTAAAAATAGCAAAAAAAATAAATAAAACTATAAAATAATTAATCACAAAGACAAACAAAATTAAAAATAGAAGTATAAATTGACAACATTAAAAGCTGAACGCCATTTGCCATTGTGTTGAATTATGAATGCAGCCAGCATCAGCAAACAGCACATATTAAAGGGATTATCATGTAAATCCTGACCATCACAGAGTTCCTTTGAAGCAAAATTGGGAAAATTCCCAAGTCGGATTTCACGTGTCTTTCCATTTCAGCTTATTGTACATTGTTCAAGTGCAGAGTTGCAATAAAAAATATGATTATTCAATGACAGGCGGACGGTAACAGCTCCCAGAGCGAGCTCAAAAATGTTCATATACCAAATTATGATTATTATTTTTTTATTATTCTCAGCCACATTCGCTGAGCTATAAATGATGCATTCTTCGTGCCGAGACCACAAAACATCTGAGACCCAAATGCAGACTAATCATAGCAAAGCTTTGAAATGCAAACAGACTTCTAAAACTGGACATGCAAGAGAAGCTTTATGCAACAAACAAAAACTATTATGAATAATATGTGATTAGTTGTGAAGTATACTGTAGTCAGCATATGAAGTGGAGCAGAAAAGTTTTTTAAATTTATCTGTATGCAGTTTAGTGTAGTGAAAATAAATGGTCTGCATGTATATTAGTATTTTTAGGCTCATAATAAAACAACTATATTACCACAATTTAACTAAACTAAATAAAATTAAATTGAATAAAAAATGCATAAATATATAAAAGAATATATATATATAAATAAATTAAATAAATGAAAATGAAAAATAAAATATAAAAAAGTAAATTAAATTTGAAAAATAAGCTAAAATAAAATAAAAAAATTAATTAAATAAATAAATAATATATAAATATAAATAAAAATCATAAAATGAAATAAAAAAAATCATTAAATTAAATAATTAAATAAATAAAAAATAAAACAAAATAAAAATTGTAAATAAAACTAGAAAAACTAAAATAAATACAAAACAATTTAATTAATACAATTGAAAAATTAAATAAATTAAATTAAATTAAAAATAAAAATTCAAGAGATACCTTAAAACTTACTTTGAAACAATATAACATTTGTATGTTTTAACATTAATCATTTGCATTTGTTTTGTTTTGTTTATAATTGTAAATGCATAGACCTCAATGCTAAATGCAAATTAAATAACACATTGCCATTGCATCCTGTACATTTTTAGTTTTCATTTAGTTTATGTTTATGTATCAAATA